AGACAGACAAACATTAAGTCAGCTTTCATTTTTATAATAAACGAGGTTTTCATGTTGCGGTCTCTTGATATAAGGAAGTCGACACAATTTATTTTCCTGCAAAATTATACTTTGAATCCTTTTGTTAAATTGCCCCACCAAAAGCTTCTCTGTGAGGAATGTTTGTGGAATCTAATAGATGCGAATGAGATCCCAATCTGATTGGTGGGATGAGCGTACTCAGAAAACTCCTCACGGGTCGTTCCCAAGCACTCAGTCTCAAGAGCTCTGCCAAGAGGACTCAGGAAGGCCCGATTTCAGGGTGTGAGAACCCCCTGAGGGGCTACTCTTGGAACTGAAGCTTCCTGACACCTGACACGGGACAGTAGTGGAGGATCTAGAGACACCCACCTAGAGAGCAAGGATAGGGTGGGATGTGCTGTGTAGGCAAATCCACGTCCTGCCTCTGTGCTGCAGGCTTCATTTCGGTCACTTCTGTTAACACCATGTGACCTGAGCAGAACGTACAGTTCCAAAGGGGGTCTTGGCTTCAAAAATGGGCATATACGCCCTAAGTCAGGAAATTTTTATTTAGTGGAAAACCTCAAATCAGACTCAGGCAGAACACACGGCAGAAACGCTGTGAGGGAAGGAGGTCCATGGGATTGCGAGAGAGGCCAGTGGAGTGCAGTTGCCGGGGAGAGGAAGGCAGTCTCTTCCCAAACTGCAAAGCGAACCCCTGTCATTTTATTAATCCAGAACCCAAGCAGATAAGGGAAGGATTAAGCTCTGAACACACAGAATACAAACATGAGCTCACTCTTTGAACCCAGTTGAGGGTATAGCAAGGGAAGCAATATGAAATGCTGCAGTGTGAAGTTCCTTCTGGGGGTTCTTCTATGTACAAAGTTTACTTTATAATGGCTCAAATTGTATTTAATTGTTTTGTTGTTGTTTATAAATGAAGAAAAGCTATAAGTATAATTATTTTATAGGTGTACTATTAAATTATAGAACAAATAAAGATACTCTAGGATTATATGTGATCCTGGTGTGATGTGCCATAAAAGTGGGATTGTGAACATGATTCAATGGGCAGCATAGGAGCATCGTGCATTATGAGTACTTTTGTCCAGCCTTGGCGAGTTTATGACGCCTAGCTTATGTCACGCAATCAGCTTTGGGGTCTGGCATCTTAAAAGAGAATTAAAATCAGGCATCCATGGAGCAGAGGTGATGGGGACGGCCCTCGATCCTGGTCTTGGGAAGTTCCCAAGCCTCTTACAGAACCCAGGCAGCTGAAGCCAGGGTTCTTAACCCAGCCTCATTGTGTTCTCTGAATAAGAAATACTGAATGAGGAGGCCGTTAGAAACTGCTGCAAAGAGAAGTCTGCTGTAAACCTCACCTTCCCCTTAGCAGCTAGGGAACCACACTCGTCTCTTCCATAAGCCGGAACTTGTCCTGAGTTTTGTCCATTTTCACATTCACTGTTCACTAGTTTTAATATTTCTTAAGTTAAATATTTCTTAGTTCCACAGTGTCTTAATTTTCTACAGAGTGACTTATCTGTCATTCAAGAAACAATTACCAATAAAAAATAAAATTTTAATAAAATCACATATGGTCTATTCACTGTATTGATTTAATAGAAATTTAATTTAACTTTAATGAATAAATCATTTCGGTTTATTAAATGGGACCCAATATTCCACTTGAATGAGACTAAGATATTCCAATTCACTTGTTTCTGAAGTTGGCTGATTGATTTTTAAGTTATGAAGTCAATGAAAATGAATTTTTGCCATTGAGTGAACAACTCAGAATGTATGTATTCCTAGAAAGCTTATGTGATGATCGACTTATCACCACTGATTATTAATGTCTGCATGAGAGATAACCAATAAGACCAAATCATAAATGATAACAATTAAAACTTGTTGGTAATCAGTTAATCTTCTGAATTGTTTTTAACCCCGCCTTGCCCCCTCGTCACTCAATCCCACTGCCACTGCTTCTGGAGCACAGCGGGCAGCCGGTACCCTTTCCCCAAAGTGAAATATATGAACCCATGCAGTTCGTTGTTGTTGTTGTTTGTATCCATTGGCATTTTTTTGCTTGCTGACTTCTCTAGTACTCAGTCTGGGATATATTAGGGAATAAACAAAGCCACTGCCATATTATTTCTCGAGTCCTGAGATTCCCACCTGGTCTGCCTTCTTTTCTCCATCTTTTAGAATATATACATAAAATCTCCAGAGTCTTTAGTGTAATGAATAGGGAAAATGAGTCTACTCCATCTTGTATGGAATCAGGTGTCTTCTGAATCTTTATAAGTTTTATTACCTATTCTCTAAGGTTTATGCCCTAGAATTTGGTGTATATATGAAATATAAGCCAAGACGCCATCTCTCTTATCTGATGTCAATATGTCAATTATATGGTAGTTTAATAAGATATTTTACAGAATATTCATAAAATCCAGGTCACTTCAGATTATAACTTGATAAGTGGCATTTGCTTCTCCTTCCTCATAGGTACGGCAGAAAACACATTTGCTAGTTGAAGTGCTAAGGCTATTTTAATCTGCTGTAGCAAAGAAACAACCGCCCTCATGTTCTATTTGCCCTGTCATGTTCTATTTGAGTTTTGCAGGGGCTGGCTTGGTGAAATACATGGGAACATGACAGTGGCTGCTGCAGTTTTAAAGTCTTTGAAAATTTCACTAATCTTCCCTATTCCCTCTGGAATTTAGCATTGTTTTTGATTTACTCTTTTTGTTGATGTTGGACTCTTCAGAAGCCTCCACTTGCCCCTTGCTACCACAATAGTTCTTATCAAGAAGTCAAAAAAAAAATCAGTGTGAGGACTAAGGGTATTCCTTTCAATTATGCATTTGGAGATGAGGGAAAGGAGCACCAGTTTTGTCCATGGGCCAATGGGGCCTCTGAGAGCCAGACTTTGCCTAGGACTCTCGTAGCCCTTATATGCTTCTACTTTAATAGGGAGCCATGGTGGTCCATTGAGTCTCCAGGTATTAGTTTCAATTTGGACCCACTATGAAATAATCCTCAAAAGTTATGAGTATTCCTATTTCTTCTGCATTGCATTTACCCGAATAACTAGTCCTAAGTTCCCTGGTTAAGTACCAAGGGAGTAACAGATGAATATATCTGCCCTGGTATTATAGTCCTTACTCATCAAGAATTAGCCTCTCCTTCAGCCAGTGGATTCTAAATCTGATCTGGAAACTGAGTGAGGGATTGTGATTTTTTTTTTTTTGAGATACTGTTCTCTGCCTTTGATTATCCACCACTGATTTTTTTTTTTTTTGGCTGTATAAATTAAACAATGCCCTTGTTGGCAGCCCATCTGTCTTGCCTCCAGGAATACCATGTTCTAGTAATAATCTCCTGTTGAGACCTTGTGGCTGTCACTCCAGTTCCAACACTCTTTGCAACAACTATACCTATGTTCCTCCAGAAAGCTAAGGACTAGTACCTGGCTTATATTATTTTGAGATCTTACATTTCTCAGGTCCATCAGAGGGTGATGGGCATGGCTGAGCTTCTCCGTGCTGCTGCTGCTGCCCCTGTCGCAAGCACAGGCATCGTTGCTTTGGTAAACAGAGGACTTCCTGTGATCATGGTTGGCTGGTGGGGTTTTAGCTTTATGTA